CACGTTACGATGCAAAAGAGATAGAATTACAATACTGTCGGGTACTCTAAATTGATAACGATTCTATTAAGAATGCAGAGCATTTACCAAAGTAAATAACTTTGTTCCAATTTATTCCTTTTACGTCCTATACGAAAACTCAATTGTACGGCTAAACTTCTGATGGAATATCTCATTATGGTGACTGTTCATTAGCAGTGTAAGTGTTTTGACTTTACTTTACAATTAGATAAGTTAGTAATTAATTAATTAAAAAAGCTTGAGATTATAAAATATTAGGTTGTCAGCACTGGCTTTCATTGTAAATAATGCTGATGTTGCATTATCTTAACGGGTTAACGAGTTAACTTAAGCAGGCTAATATTAAGATTTCAGTAATAGTACTAATCAATTTACCATGAGTACCTTCTGTTCTTTAGGGTTCGGCACCAAAAAGATACAAAGGAACCCTTATAGTGTGACTTTGTGCATCCTTTCATTCGTCTGTCACAGTGTTATATTTTAGGACCTACTAATGCTATCAATTTGAAATTTTAAATAGTTTTAAATATTACTATGGATGCACATATTGCAATGGACATATTTAAAGAAAATATTTTTATTTTCTATGCTGAGGGTGTTCAAAATGGATATTCGAAATTTTAAAATGGACCTACTAGTCCAAGTGGGATATCATATAAAACGGGTTCATTTATAAATTTTAGATTTTTATTTTTTTTATTTTTATGCTCCGTACCTTTTTAGTTATGATCGAAACCTCGGCGTGTGAGTTCAACTCGCACTTGAGTGGTTTTTCAACTGACTTCAGAAAGAAGGTGGTTCTCAAATTGTTTTTATATTTTATGTTTATTACCTCATAACTTCGTCAGTTCTAAACCGATTTAAGACAAACTTTTTTATCTGAAAGTATACATAGGTATACTTATAGATCGGCCCTATAGAAATGTTTTCAAAGTCAGTTCAGTATTTTCGCAAATTGAAAAGAAAACAATGTTATTGTAGATATTGTTATATTAGCTGTAATCCAAATAAGTGTATGTGAAATACCTTAAAGATTGTTTTTAAAAGTATTTATCTATTACATTTTATTAAAATCCGTTTATTTTTTAAAGCATGATCGGGTAATAAAAGGTTAAGCATCTGCGAAAATCTGTAGGTGGCGCAAGAGTTTTTTTTGAATGAACGATAATGAAATGGTAACCCCGCTAACGGTATACGCTGGCGGAGCACCAGTGAGGGATGGTAGGTGAGAATGAAAAGGTAGGTCAGTTAGTCCATTGTAATGAATACACCTGGAATTTAGCATGATGGTTTCCAAGGGGGACCACGTAGAGGTTGATCTGATAGGGTATATTGCTAGCAATAGGACTGGTGGTCGGCATTACTAACAATCCCTTCTTCTCTAGTGGTGCAAGAGTGATCCTTGTGATAGAGTAATAATAGTAGTTTACTCTAAATGGCCTAAATAATATTGGTTACCTAATAAATTAATAAGGTAGGTAAGTAATTACATATCTATTTATAGGCACATGTTGTTCTGATTTACACATAATGAAAGTATGTACGCAATATAACTCCTCATTTCCTCAAAGACGGAAGATTTAAATCAACTCGTGGATTGTAATAAAGTACATAGAGTATAAAGCAAGTATTTATTTAATAAGATTTATTAGTAGTGTCGTTATAATTAGCAAGTTGTTACATACTGTATAATTTCAGTTGTCAATAAATCATGTAGTGAAAGTAGTGATCTGTCAAAGTTCATTTTAGAGATACTGTAGTTATTTTAAATGCTCTGTCTATCCCTTTTTGAAGATATAACATCGATATATTTATTGATATCGTGCACGAGCTTTATGACATACGAATATATAATATGCTTATTGTTACAAAGATTATATAAAGGAAACAAAAAATGTATAATTATCACAAACAGTACAACAAAAGGGGTCCTCTCGAATTTACGAGTATGTTGTAAGAAACCTATAGATATCTTCGATTTTCAGAGTGAAATCCTCTTATTATTATTGTATTGTAAAAAGGAAAGGAAAACATTTTCCTCATAATATTTTACAATATAATTGATTCACAAAAAGTATGAGTAAAACATTCTTGTTATTTTGTTTCAATACTATAAACTCTTTACAAAATAATTACTTACTTTAAATATAAAAAATAAAGATAAAACGAAAGAATATTATGTAGATAGAAATGCAAGGCAATGAGAACAGAAAAAAATGTATTGTTACTTTGTCTATGCAACGAATAACTCAGATAGTTTTATACCAAGGTCTTTGCTTATTCTAGCGACTACATGTACTGTACAATGGCTAATTAGGTCGTAGGTAAGGTATTTTACACAAATTGATTATAACGCTTCAGTGCGAGGGTTGAAGGACAGACTAAAAACGTGACGAAGCCGGCATTGGCATTACGTGGGAGGGATAAAATCAACTGAGTAAATTTGACTCTTATTATGTCCTGGATATGTTTATGTAACAAACTTAATTTAAGTTTATTAGTAGTAATATACATAATCATGAAAGGTTAATTATTATATTTATTATTTAGATTGATGATCTCCATGTCGCAGTGGTGAGTACGTTGTTTTGCGTAAATGAGATCCCGGGTTCAATCTCGGTCAGGTTAATTTAGGAAACGAACTTTTAAATTAGCTCGGTTCTGGATCTTTTGGGTTATACCCCCAGATGTTCGTTGTCTGGTTTTTCTAAACACGGGGTATTCTAGCTTGAGGACCACGCGATTGGTGTGATTGTGTGGCCCGACCCTTATTAGTATTATTAATTTATATAAAACTTTACAATACCATAACAGCCGTTAACACAATGGACAGCTATTGCTGAACATGGGTCTCCCTCTATTGGAGGGTTTTGCCAGTAGTTGACAAGCTTGGTAGGCAGGTAGGCAACTGCAGTTAGGCTTTGGTTATGTTTAAAAAGGGGCGCTGCTCTCCGTCCTTCGACCGTTAAGTTCCTTTAGTCACCTCTTACGACACCCATCGAAAAAGAAAGGGGTGCCCTATTCTATGCCAGGACCATACAGCGTATAGTTTATCTAAAACTATACCTGCCAGTAACTTTGTTCTAGTAACCGGGACATAATGATTAAACTGGACAAATAGTGGTCTATTTATTTTTCGATGCCACATATATTAATTGAACCGTTGTGATGTCAAGATATAACGAATAAATAAATAACTAATAAGTAAATATAAACAGGGGAATTATTACGGTTTACATTTCAGAGGATTTAACAAAAATAAAAAAAGAAATGTTTAAGGAGTTTCTCCTATTATTATGAATTGTACCTTTGATAATCTAATTTTCATGGGTGAACAGAATGGAGAGGTTGTTGTGCCATTTTACCATTCATTAAAATTTTCGATGATTGGATGAAGTCTGGGCGCAAATGTTGGGGGCGCAATTTCAAAGGGACGTGTAAAACACGGAATACCATACAGAAACTGGATGATGGTTATTGTACGTTTGTCGTTTATTTACGCTCATTAATGTGCTTTATTTGTATTTCATCCGTATATTAACGAAATATACGGTTCAGATTCCAATTATTTTTTTTTATATCCATTTACACTTATACAGTAGTGAAGTGAGTAAGTAAATAGACTCATATTTGTTTGGAGTTCGGTGTAAATCTTGTCAATTATTAGGCACATATAATTGTAGATTCAAAGTTTCTGTATTTTTGTAGCAGAACCAAAGTGCTTTTGTTATTTTTATCTAACATTATGTTATTTATTCCGCTAGGGTTTTGGTCTAAACTGACTAATTTCTGAACAATATTCAGCGAGTCCATTTTGATAGAATTTGATTAAAAATAAATGAAAAATAAATGATTAAAAATAAAAATGAATGAATTGATACGAAAATGTGGAAACATGAAAATTCTTATTTAAAGTAGATTTTAAACAGTATATTCTGAGGAAAAATCTAATATTTACTTACGTGAATCATTATAGATTATCAACATATATTTTACAATAGTTGTCACTGAGCTGAGCATAAGATGTGATGCGCAAACGTAGTAGGGCACGAAACACCGCCGAGCGCTGTCTTTTGGATTAATTACGTTACGGTGTTCGCAATCACTGAAGAGTTTGTGGAAATTTCAAGTTAACACACAATGTTTTGAACTCATGCAATCACTGAGATATCCTCAAGTCACGATTGTGAACCACTAAGCCATGTATCCTTAAAATACCAAGATTTATGCGAAACCAATACTCCTCTAAGTTCGGAAATCTTGAGATAGCAACGATGACAAATTTATTGCTACTATAGGGTAATTTATTAAGGTGCTACCTTAGTATAACTACATGCAAGTTGTACGTACGTAGTAGACTGTCAAGGAAATCGTTAATTGCTGACGTAAATTTGGAATAGTAACTTTAAATCATTTGTAAGCGTGGATAAGTACTTTATACTCAGATGCTTGTTTACATTAGTTGTCGCTATTGTTTTTTGTTTTACGTTCGGGTTAATAGAGAGTAATTTTATTGATTAAATTTCCATTCGGTTGTCATTACGTAAAATTTATAACGAAAAAGTTTAGATAATAGTTAAAAACAGATAGAACGTACCTATTTTGAAAAAGATCTAGTACAGCAGGGGCTTTGCTATCAACTAATAACTTTTTCAGTTTAGTTTAGCAAGCCTAGTTTCATATAAATTTAAATATCTACTTGGAGTTTTTATTTCTATCTGTCTACGATTATATTATTGTTGGATTACATATATATTTGATACTTGTATAATGTCACTTATTGTACTTGCATAATGTTATCTAAGTATGTTTCGTTTTATGTAATAACATTTTAGTTACTTAGGAGTTTTGTCCGTATAAGTACTTTTAAGTAAACTTCCTTAAACGTCCGTTGTGTTTTTAAAAAACAAGACCGCACAATGATCACAGTGTTATAGTTATATAGAATGGATAGTGTAGTGTATAATGCATTAGTTCACGTTTAATATCTTTAGATGACAGTGTGGTTCAATTCAGATGCAGTCTGTAAGTTAATTAATCAAATAATATTACTCGTTGGCATGCAGTTCTACCTATAACTAGACAAACATAGGTACAGTGATTCTAAAAATATTGACAGTATTCAATATTTTTTCAGGTAACTATAAATTTTCTAGTAATATATTCGACTAACATTATAATTCAAGGCCTTCCAATAAATAATGGGTTCACAGTTAAATTCAACCCTATTTCCGTTCAAGAGCAAGTTAAACCGAAAACATTTGGCGCGTTATTCGCGAAGATTCTTCAGGAGTTATCCCCGAAGGCCACACATAGAAGGGAAGTTCTTGTGAAAGCGCACTCTCCTTATCCACCGGATCTAGGTACAGGATGTACGAACCAAATAGCAAGAATAATATTTCCTCTCAAAGGCGACGAGAATGTTAACGATACACACGAGTTGGAGAACTTGAAATTACTAAATTTGCCAATTATTAAACAGCCGTTTGAGAGCTATAAAATCTTGATTGCGACAGCGCCGCCACACTTAAAGATCGGCGGGGACGACGATGAAAAACCGATGGTGATTTATATTGTGTTTCCGGAGGACAAGACGACCGATTCTATAAATATACCTACGATTTATTTCGTAAACAAGCTCAACGAAAAAATGTATATAAATAACAAAACCACAGTGGACCCGATTCTAATTATTGATAGTAATCGAACTGTGACGGGATTGAAGAGCAAAGAAATACATAAATTTGTTAAGTTCAAAAATAAAGTGGCGGACCATTATAAGTATCAAATATCACAATAAAAATGCGTTGTTTAAGAGTTTTGTTATTATGTATCGTGTAATTTAATTTAATTTAATTATATTAATTACATAACAAATATTCATCAATAATTCAGTACGAAGGTTTCAAGATAAAATGTTCCTTCATCATCACCATACCAGCAGTTAACTATCCGCTGCTAAGTATAAACCTTGGAAGATTTGCCAGTAGTTGTCATGTTTGGCAAGTGAATTGGTAAACGTAATTAGGCTTTGGTGATGTTTTATAAGGGACACTGCTGCGCATCTCTCCACCATAAAGTTCTCTTAGTCGCCTCTTACGACACCCACGGGAAAGGTAGGGGTGATCCATTTTATGCCATTATATGGCATAAAAGATGCCTTATTAATATGTAAAACAAACAGATTATAAGTATTCGTGTATAATTAGGGCGTTTAAATACTCGCTACAGCGTTTGTTTTCTCAAATATGGTTGAGATTACAACTGGTAGATACAAAGCAAGCTCTAAACTTAGGACTGATGTGCTGAGTCCGCAAATTTTCTGAATCTCATTATATAGAAATGCTTTTTATTAGCAAGTTAATACTTTTTGGAATACAAACACAATGTTCAAACACAGATTTATTTCTTTTTAATTAAAATGATTATCTATATTTCAATTTCCGGTGTTTCACCGATAATTCAATCTTCACAGAAATCGTGAAAATATTGCGCAGGCATCGTGCTTTTAATTTTAAGATATCGTAAGATCTAATAAAGATTTTTTCATGAGCATTAACAAAAAAACATACTTTTGTTTATTGCTATTTAATATACGTTAAATATATATTTTTTAATATAAATTTACATGGATTTATTAGAAAAATAGAGAAGATAAGATGTAATTAGGAAAGTTAACTTTAATCGAAACATTTATCATTAGTTGCTCGGGAAATCTTTACTACGCGAAGAACGAACTAATTCATTCCAATTGTCTCGTTGCATTCCTTTTTAAACTTTTCCGGTGCTTTAGTTAGAAAGTAGAAAAGCGCTATTGTGACCCGTAATCTTTAAGCCTTTTAACATTTTATTTGAATTATTTTAAAATACCAACAGCAAAAATATTAAATGTTATCCAGATATTGACGTTGCCATTATGGATTCTAATTTTCTGTTTGAACTTTTTCTTTTTATCCCATTTTGTCTTTTAATTGATTTATAAAATTTTACGTTAATGTTCTTGTACTATATTCTTAACGATATTTTTGTTTAAAAACGCATGATGAATTAAACAAATTGTATGATTTATTCAGAGCACGAGTCATAAGTAACGTATCAGCTATTTGTTATTTTAATTTAAACAATTGATTTTATTTTTAATAATTTATGAAACATTTAATTTTTTTATTAGATAAGTAAGTTCTATTAAAATGAAACTTTTATTAAATTAAGTTTATAGAAAGAAGAAATATTGTCATTATTTTTTTTATTTTCGTTATACGGAGAGCCAAATATTCAATTTACTTGATAAGAAGTAGCTATCGCTGTTTATATACAATTGTATAGTGATTATATGTAATATATGTGGTAATTTTTGGCTTAATTGACACCGGCTAAATATTGATTTGGAGTACAGCTAGAATAAGAACTACTAGCTTTTAATGTTTAATTAAATCTAATCGAAATTAACTAATTAACTCAGAAAGTGAGACAAAATAACTTATCTAACATCGGTTAACTACCGACGTCAGATAAGTTATTTTGTCATTTAACATTAGCTAGATCGCTAGATCAATTAATCTATGAATTTTAAAGACTAATTTAGAGTGTTCGTTTAAAACAATTAGTCGAAATATAGATTTATCACATTAATCTACGAATAAAACATTTGTCTTTAAAATATCATTATTGTATTGAGCCAGCTATTGGTTTTAAATATAGAATCAATTCTTCATCGACTCAAGTTATATTGAGTTTATTAGTTTTAAAAGTTTTAATTTAATTTTATAGAAATTACTGAGGACTGGGTTTGTTGTTTTAATTAATCTTCAATTTAATTTTCCTAGGTAACTAGGCATTTCATGGTCTAAGTGATCTTTTATAGATTTCATTTTTTCGACAGTAAATTATAAATTGTTATTATATACATATATAACATATGATATAGTCGCAATAAACATCTGCACATGTACTTTACATAGGCTATTTTTTATTGTAATGTTATAACTAAATAGAAACTGAATGCGGTGTTCGGCTTTAGTGATATACATATATACATGGTTACTAAAGTGGTTACACAAAAATACGTACGTTTTTGTTGAATAGTGATAAACTATTCTGATTAGCTTATCAGAGGTTACAATTTTGAGTTATTTTTAAGTTACATTTTATAATGTTTGAGAAATTTATGTAGTATAGATAAGACTACATGTTTTTGAACATTTATCTAATTAAATAATATAGGTATCTCAACTTAATCTGTTTTACCTAATAGTGATTTGGGTAATCGATTTTGAATACTCATTATCAACATACCAGTCGTTATCTGTTCACTGCTGAACATAGGTCTCCTCCACATACTACCATAAGGAATGGTTCATTCCTTAGTGCAGTTTACTATTGGGACATAGATTTTGCTAGTAGTTGACACGTTTGGCAGGTGGATTAGCAACTGCAGTTTGGCTTTTGACGATGTTTTAAAAAGGACGCTGTTGTCCATCCCTCGATCATTAAGTTCCTTTAGCCGCCTCTTATGATACCCATGCAAAAGGACCATTCTATGTCGGGACCATACGGCTTGTTGAATAGTCCTAACAAGTAATTTCGATTGTTACGAAGATAAAATTGCGGACGAAACCATATTCATCAGTAAATAGATGGAAGCTACTGACAACATTCCCACTAAACACTATATTACCGTATTAAAAACCGGGGCAAAATTGTGGATAAATAGGCACCTACTTGTTTCAGAATGTAGTTATCTTTAGAGTTCTGATTTGGTGGATAATCAATAGCGTCTCCCTTGAGTCAATGAAAGGCTAAGAAAGGGAAGGTTCCGAAATCATTTCCATGAAAATGCGTCGGTACGTAATGGACGAGAACTGTTTATACCCGCTTCAACATTTAATTTACATAAACGTAGACTGAAGATGCTTTTGTTGAAAAAATTAATTATGTATTCAAATGTTACATTGAGACTGTTCTATTTAGAATAAGAAAAAAAAAATCGTATTAAAATTTTATTGAGTAAGTATTCATTAATTCCTATTTTTAGACTAATAAAACGCCTACACAATTGTAAAGATGTATATTAGGATGTTTGTTATTCGTGAACGGATTTATACTACGCAAACAGTAATAAATAAATATAACTGCAATAGTTACACCGAGCCATTGAGTAGATGGCGCTGTATATAACTTGATTTGTTAGTTAAATACTTTTTTGTAATGTAGAATACACTCAGACATTTGTATTCATAATTAGACATACTCATGAATATAAATATTTGTACACATATAGTGCGGGGATGGACATTGACCCAACCGAAGGTAAGGCGAAAACCTTAATTGCTACTTTATTAAAGTGATTATTAACAAAAGAAATTCCAAGTTATACTATAAGAGATATTAAAATAACAGAGACAGAAATAGAGTACCTGTATCTGCTTATCATACTATAGGATTTTTCTCATATTGGGAAGCCAATGCTGGGAATAGGGTTATCCCATAAGAAGAGGATTAACTTATTATTGACCAGGTGATCTGGTATAAGTTTTTAACATACGTCATTATAAGAGAAAAACATATGAAATATTTTTTCTTTGCAATGACGTATGTTTCTCTTATACAGCTGATCTTATGGTGTTTAAGGGATGAAAAGGAGTGAGAATTATTCTTATTTCGTTCCTATATAGACTTACTTAATAATTATTTAATAGTCATGATATTTGTAATAATTTTTATTTATAGCTATATTTAGATATTGTAACAGCCCCTTATTGAAATATTATAGCAAAATGTGTAATATACCTATCACGATAAAATGCATAAAATAATGAATCAAAGCCGTAGGGTAGGGACTCTTTATTTTTTTTTGATGGGTGAAAATGGTATGGTAACCCCGTCCGCGCTAACGGGATACGCTGGCGGAGCAACAGTGAAGGGTGATAGATGAGAATGAAAACAGGCCAGTTAGCTTATCATGATGAATTCATCAGGAATTAACCATGATAGTTTCCAGGGGGAACCGCGAGGAGGTCGACCTGGTTAGGTATATTGCTAGTAATGGGATTCTCAGTTTACATTACTAACAATCCCTTTCCCCCCTAGGAACTGTTTATTTATGTACTTAATAAAAAGATCTTAACTGTAATTTCTCTTTTTTTCTTCCCTTCTCTGTATACCACCTACACGAGACTAGGCGTGAAGATAGAAGAATTGGTGATTTTGAGCTCCGCTTTGAGAGTGCTGTTTGAAATGCAAATTTTATGATAAACTAGCTGACGCCAAACGTTGCATTGCCCATATTACTAGCAGGTATTTTTTTTATTGGAACAAAAAGTATTCTTTTCAGTTGAAGCAAACCTTTACAAAATTTCATTAAAGTGAAATGCGGTCTCGGAGATTAGCATGAATGAACATCGTGATAAGAAATTTTTATATTTATGTACTAGCGACCCGTCCCGGCTTCGTACAGGTGCAATATTTCTCTGTGTAACTTTTAAACTGTTTAACACATTTTAGTAAGGCTGGTATTTTGGCATTTGTGAAAGTACTGCATTAGTGAATTCTCTAAGATTTTAAAATGAACGGCTTATAAAATTTATTTTACTTTTAACATAAAAACCATCTTTTTGGCTGAGATATTAAACCTAAATATATGTGTCGTGGATTTTTTGTAAATATAAGAGTAATGAATATTTTTGCTATAGATTTTATTCCTTTATTGCAAACCGTTAAGACAGAGTACGCCATATTTCTACTGGCTAAATTACATTTGTTGTGATTAACTATTGAAAATATATATTTACCAAATGTAAT